AATGTTCATACCCACTGAACCTAGTCTCATTCTACTATTACAATCAAATACAGGCCCAATGTTCATACCCACTGAACCTAGTCTCATTCTACTATTACAATCAAATACAGGCCCAATGTTCATACCCTGAACCTAGTCTCATTCTACTATTACAATCAAATACAGGCCCAATGTTCATACCCCTGAACCTAGTCTCATTCTACTATTACAATCAAATACAGGCCCAATGTTCATACCTGAACCTAGTCTCATTCTACTATTACAATCAAATACAGGGCCTGTATTTGATTGTAATAGTAGAATGAGACTAGGTTCAGGGTATGAACATTGGGTCCCACGGTTCATAACTGAACCTAGTCTATTCTATTTTAAAAGTCATATTGGTCAGAGTCACACTTTGACTCAAATTTCTGTTTTTAAACATCCATGATTCTATTTGCACATTTCTTCCTTTTTAAGATTGGAGTTGAACCAATTCATAATGAACTCTTGTCATAGGAAAATTAGTGTGTCTAGTATATTTTTGTGTTAATAACTACATAATGAACAGAAGTGATGCATGTTAAGGAATTTATTCATTGGATAAGATAACAGAAAGAATACTGAAAAGTTTACAGATTTGCATTTACACTTTTATATATATATATATAAATACACGAGTATACAAAATTGTTTATATCAATCCACTAACAGACAGACAATAAAAGATTTATTCTGTCAGATACCTCATTAATATTAAAATGATAGCGAGGAGAAGTAAGAAAAAAAATGGGTATAAAAATAATGATACGTTTTTATAATACAACATCTAGAGATTATGTTAAGTGTTTAATATTAATGGTAGTTTATGTATCCCTTTTGAACACATTTTAAATTTCATTTACTTTATAGTTGTGATTATAACATTTAAAAACAAACTTTTTTCATACCTGATAGTATTATGTAAAATTATTTTGATAAATTTTAAAATTTCTACACCAACATTATCACTATAAATCTCAGTCAATTTTTTGTTTTCAAGTACCCACTAAGAAAGTAAGTATAGGTTTCTTATGAAAATGTTTTACCTTTTTTTTTAACTTCTACGTTATCATAGTTTCTAAGTCAACCATTTTTATTGTCAGCAGAAGGTTCTTTTCTATTATCATCTTTATATATTTACTTTTCTAGAAATACAATATGGCAAACAGAACTTGAACAAGCGGATGGTCTGGTTACTAACAGAAAACAAGTTTGTTTGTTTTAGGCAAAGTTGAAAATTTGATGAAAAGTACAAGTTGAGGGTTTGATAACAATTCATTTTTCACTAGGCCTTTGAGTTGGTGGTTGGTCTACAAACAACAAATTTGTCAGTGTGGAGATATATATATACATCAGAATCTTGTTAGGAAGAAAATCACAGTATAAAGCCTGACATCAGTTCACACCCCCTACTGACATTTGTCCTAAGAGCTTAAAACACTTCCCTTAAGCAGACTCTATGATTATTGAGATAAAAGTGACTGCTAGTATTAAATAGGCCTGGTTGACTATGGCTGTATTTTGTACAACATCAGCAATAAAGGTAGATTATACTAATAATACATAGGATTTTATAATGTTTATTTTTATTCCTTTGTGTATTGCAATATAAAATACTTTCAGATATGGAAGAAATGTTATATTGAAATTTGATATAGTTATTAAAAAAACAAATGGGTAAAAATAACTTTTTTTTTTTCTAAAATCTTGAGAGAAGAATCAGTTCAGTTTGCCAAGTTCTATCTTCTTCTGGATTGCTCTGGATGAGTGGTACACAACGGAATCTATCAGACTGGCCACTGAAAGATGAAAAAAATTGCAAGATATAGCAGTAATGATCAAGATTAATCTTGAATGTAATTTCTGAAAGTTTCTATACTTAATGTTTTTTAATTGCATAAAGTTAAAGTAGACACAGAAAGGGGATTTTCAGACATCCAATATTAAATGTGTAATGTATATCAAAGGCTTCCTTTCTTTCTCTGACATGCAAATAGATTGAATTTTAGCAAGGTGGAGGTCTTTATTTAAAATTCATGCCCTATATCAAGTACAACTTTTATCACACTGTTTATCCAGTACAACTTTTATCACACTGTTCATCCAGTACAACTTTTATCACACTGTTTATCCAGTACAACTTTTATCACACTGTTTATCAAGTACAACTTTTATCACACTGTTTATCTAGTACAACTTTTATCACACTGTTCATCAAGTACAACTTTTATCACACTGTTCATCCAGTACAACTTTTATCACACTGTTCATCCAGTACAACTTTTATCACACTGTTTATCCAGTACAACTTTTATCACACTGTTTATCCAGTACAACTTTTATCACACTGTTCATCCAGTACAACTTTTATCACACTGTTTATCAAGTACAACTTTTATCACACTGTTTATCCAGTACAACTTTTATCACACTGTTCATCCAGTACAACTTTTATCACACTGTTTATCCAGTACAACTTTTATCACACTGTTCATCCAGTACAACTTTTATCACACTGTTCATCCAGTACAACTTTTATCACACTGTTCATCCAGTAC